GGTGGTTAAAACATTTGGCTGCTAACCAAAAGGTCGGTGGTTGAAACCTGCCAGCTGTCCACAGGGGAAAGATGAAGCAGTCTTTCATAAAGATGACAGCCTTGGAAACTATATAGCAGTTCCATTCTGTCCTCTAGGGGTGCTGTGAGTCAGAATCCATGGCAATGGGTTGGTTTGGGCTTTCCTTCTGTAAAGATTGACAGCCTTGGAAATGGCTGTGGACCAGTTCTACTCTGTCCTCTAGGGTTGCTGTGACTTGATGGCAGTGGTTTGCTTTGGCTTTGGGAAAATTTCCTAGAATTTTATCCCCCACAACCTTGAGTATGATGGGGGAGAAAGAGCTGGTGAATGCAGTAGAGGTTGGGAAGAGCCTGGGGGATGCCCCATTTCTCAAAGTCTGCTGTGAATTCATTGTTTACTGTCTTTTCCATGTGGAAGGGAAGGGAGCTAACTAGCCCATCACCCAGAGTCAAATGGGTCACAGGACTTGGGTGCTTTCCATCCCAGATAATTTCTGGATTTCCCTAGAAGAGTTTATAGATACAGGCCAGGGATCCATCCTGCATAGGCTTCCAGGGTACTGGCTACAATTCCAGAATACATAATGTTCACCTTGTTTTTGAGGGTGAGTGGTGGCTCAGCAGAGTTTTTGCTTTGTATGCAGGAAACCCACTCACTCCTCGGAAGGAAGATGGGGCAATCTACTTCCGTAATAATACTGCCTCGGAAACCCAAGGAGGGGTCACTGTGAGTCAGGTCCGACTCGACGGCACATACGTGCAGGACACCCAGGCTCGGTCCCCAGCCAGCGCACCGCCTGCAGTCACCACTTGTCTGTCAGTGGAGGCTTGAGTGCTGCTCTGATGCTGAACAGGTGTCATCAGCACTTACAGCCTAGGATGAACCAGCAAGAAGGAGCTGGCAATCTAGTTCCGAAACATCAGCCAATGAAAACCCTGTGGATGATGACGGTGCAAGCCCCGCCCACCATGGGCGTGGGCCAGGACCGTGTAGTGTTTTGTTGCACACAGCTGTTTTTAAGGTGATTTCATTGCTTTGGTTCTTAGAATCTTCCTGCTCGGTGGGCCCTTCCTGTACCTCACACTGCCATGGCTCAAGGATGCCCACAGAGAGAGCAGAAGAGGTCCTCCACAGTTGACATGATGTGCCAATCAACATGGACAAGTCTTGGAAGGTCATACTGTAACCATTCTAACCAAACATTGTTCTAACTCAGAACATCTTTATTTCATGCAACGGGATTGAGTTCACTCAACCCTAAATTGACTTTGAGCTGCTAGAGATTACCTAATCCACTGGTATTAGAAATAGCAAAGGGGGTGTGTGGAGGGTGGGGAAAGGTGTTAAAATGCAGACCTTTGAGAAACTAGCTCTGAGAATGGTATTGTTCTGACCCAAAGGTGGTGGTTTCATCTCACAGGTACCAGGGAGAAGAGAAACACAGGTGGACTGAGGTCTGACCATCCAGACTTGGTCCATGATGAGAGAAGAGGACACAGGAGGACTGAGCTCACTAGTTCACTCGTTCTCGTCCACTCACGGGTGCCTTCAGCCACCCCCCGTGGAGGGTCTCCTGTGTATGGGGCTCCATGTTAGGCTCCTTAGAGGCCATCCAGAGGCCGTGGTTCCACAGGGAAGATACACTAATATTTCTTCCATGACCACAAACTTGGCAGCTTTAATCATTGCATAGGTGGTAAAGTCATGAATTCCAACTTGGCAACTAGATTAGCTTACGTTTATAGTTTCTTCTGAAGACAATTTTAAATAATTACACAAATAATAATGGTGGTCACTCATGATTTATTTAGAACATCAGGGTAGTGAGTGAGAAACAGCTTATAAGAGTATGTCTGCACAAACTTATCTGTGGGAACATTTGGCATGATTTTCAGTGTTTGGGTGTTGAAGTCAAGACCACTCCCCCCCCCAATTCAATTCATTTTAATTAAGTGCACATAGATTGTATGCCCTCAGTGTACTGGGTCATATGAGAAAAAAAGATGAACAAGACTGGGGTCCTGGTCTCCAGGAACTCCAAGGGGAGAGGCTCTGAGGTTCTAACCAACTCTTCAATGAGACTGGCTATGATGAAAATCATGTCGTATAGGTGTCCTGATACTCATCTCAATTAGGCGTATCAGGAAAGTCCAAGTAGAGGTGCCAAACAGTTATTTTAAACAGGAGTGATGATTTCATGCTTTTGTCAATATTTTGTTCATATTCATTACTGAGTACAAGTACCCCACACGGCCATGTGCATCAGTCCCCCACATGGTGTCTTCCTAATCTAATGCTAGTAGTCAGAAAATTGGGAAGATGTCTGCAGACATCTTAGGCTGGGCCACGTGTCTGGATCATCCCTCCACGATCTCAATGTGGATCTTCTAGGCTGACTTCAGCACAGCCGGTAGCTGATTAGCTTCACGGTGCTGGTGCTGTTAGTTACTGAGCTCATGGGTGACTATTGTGTGTAACAGTGGAAGGATCGCCCGTCCTGCACCATGTTTGTGATCATTGCTATGGTTGGGTCCATTTTGGGGCTATTGTACTGAACCGTCTTGAGGGTTTCCTCTGCTCTGGCCTCTTGTCTCACCAGCAGGGGCTGGGGCTTCAGGGCTTCTTTCTCTGTGTACTCAGAAGCTGGTACAAAACAGACATTTTCAGTAATGGCCCAGAAGGTAACCGTAGCCTTGAAAAGTGGGCTAAAATGGGATCACTGGGCCCTCGGGTGAAGTGTGCCAGTGTGAGGTCTGGGTGCTGCCGTTTCCTGAAATGATCGGGCAGTGAGTACAGATGGCAGTTCAGGAGGCCAGAAGCCCGAGTCTGGATTCAGGTTACTGGTTCTAGGGGCAGGTGTTCTCTCTGTTGGCTCTGGAGTAGGGTCCTGTGTCTTCTGAGATTCTGCTCCTGACTGATCTTCATGTGGTTTGGGCTCTTTCCCCAACTCTGCTCCAAGACCCCTTCTAATAGAAGACATGTTTTATCAACTAAGCAAAGGAGCTAAATGACTGCAACACGATGACATTAAAAAAATACCAGGAACTTTATACATACTCACGGGAGAGCATTTGACACATGGCGTTTTACTTGTAATACGCTTGGTTTAATCCTGCAGATGAATTTTTAAATGCCTTCTTATACATCCTTAAAGTACAGAGGTAAGCGTTCTAAGATCAGCTTAAAGTTCCAATCAGTTTTAAGTGCGAACCAATAATAAATACTAGTCAAAACATTCAAGGAACAAAAAGTGAGCTTTCCATTAAAAGAGAAACTGTGTGGGTTCTAGCTGTAAATAATAAACAGTGTAGGTGTTTTGTTACTGCTTAAAGAATGGTGGCAGGAATGACTATGACAGTAGACGGCAAAACTGGTCTGCAGATTTTTTTTTTTTTTAATCAATTAGATGAAAGATTAGAATAGTACCTCCCTATACACCTGG